AGGGAGGTGTGAAGAGTCTGTAAAGTTGTGGTAAGGAGTACTTAGCACTGATCACCCAGGGGTACTTATTTCTGAATACTCAACTGACTTGGTGTCCTCAGATGTTGTCCCCAAAAGGCATCTCAAGTGGGATTTGCTCTAGGTTACTTGGCCTCTGGTCAAGGCCTTTGTCAGACCTTGGGGAAAACATGAATTTGGAGGAGAGGAGAAGTGGGAGGCCCTGGCAGCGCCCCTTCCCTGGTCTCCCCTTCCCTAGCAATTCCCTTCTTCCCTCTTATTTCCCACCCCACCCGACCCCTGCCTATTCACCCTAGAGTGGTGGATCTGGTGGCATCACCATTAGGTCCCAGCCTGCTTTGCTCAGGAAGCAGGATAAAATCAACCCCCATGTGGGTTAGGTCGTTAGAGTCAGCCTCTGTGGGTGAGCCAGGCATAGTTAGCACTCACCCCCAGAGGCTCCAGGGCAGCCAGTGTTGAGGGTTCCCCTCTGGGGAGCTGAGGGAGCTGGAGGACACTTCAGAAAGGCAGGTGGGACTTGACCTCAGGAAATCCATAACAGACGTGCAGATGTCGCTGCCCGAGACACTCCTGGTTCTCCAGAGAACAGAGCCAGTGGGAAGGGCGGCCATGGACCAGGGAGGGTGGACGTGGACCAGGGAGGGTGGCAGGAAGCAGGTCTGCTGCAGGCTCCCCTCGTGCCTAGAGGGGCAGTTCAGCCTCAGGTGTTGGAGTGGTTCCACTGCACTGGAAGACAGGCTGCTTACTCAGTGTCCATGTTCCGTTTTGTGTGGGTCTGTGAAGGAATTAGGGTCACTCCAAGGTGAATTTTAGGTTTAGCCAAACAGCAGGGGAATTGGCTGGTGAGCTGACAGTTACTTTGAAAAACTTTTTTTTATTGTTACACACTATACCTCTTAGCAAGTCAGTTTCCACAGATCAAAACCTCTTATCTGAAGCTGTTTGAAGGAGCCAGATGCCCTAACGATTCTCAGCAGTGAGACATCTTGGTTTTCCAAGTCCTCCCATAACTAAGTTTTGAAAAGGCTCTGAGTCCTTTAGGAAGAACTCAGAAAAGAACCAAAAACTTCAAAGTTTCTCACCTTTAATCCCAGGACTCAAGAGAAAGAGGCAGGTGGATCTCTGTGAGTTCAAGGTCAGCCTGGTCTACAAAACGAGATCCAAGTAACAATCAGAAATGGTAGTTCAAAGCCCAGATGCAATGCTCTTCGGGACCTCTCACTACACTCAGACTTGAGAAATTAAACTTTTAAAGAATCTTTAATGTGTATGAGTGTTTTGCCTGAACTTATGTATGTGCTCCACATGGGTACCTGGTGCCCAGGAAGGCCAGGAGAGGGCGTCTGATCCAGTGCAGTGATCACTGTCTTGTGGGGACCTGGGGACTGAACCCGGGTCCTGGCACAGGCAGCATGTGCCATTGACCTCTGAACCATCCAGCCTCCAGGGATTTCTAATTGCATCTAAAAAACTCGGAGTTGACTCACAAAATTAGCCACCAACTCGGGACAACAGTGGGAACCGAGATCAAACGCATGCACCTCTGAGCTGAACCTGCCTAGACCAGAGCAGTCCGCAGCCTGAGTCTGTGGCTGATTTACCTCCCAGATGCTGAGTAGAATCCCTCCATCCAGATGTCCTTCCTCACCTTCAGAATGAAAAGACACTGGACCAGTATGAGAGCGACTGAACATTGAAACGGCCTCAAAGATGGAGGCCGTTCCTTCCCAATGAGCAAACACACTTGATCAAAAGCCCTGGTGGGTTAATCTGTCCCTGCTGCTGATTCTACCCAGCCTCAGCTTCCCTCTGGCGACAAGGAGCTCACTGCTGAGGGGCTGGGTGCTTCTCTGCGGGGGCCCCCTCGGGTGGCCTTACCCTCCGCTGAGTCAAACCCCAGTTCAGCTTGCATTTGCTGAGCCCCACACAGCAGCCCACACTCCTCCTGGTACTCAAGACAACTCCGCTTCCCGTGGGCTTTCTCTTCCAGGCTAAGCACCCTTGGGGAGAGGGGGCCTTCAGACCTAGAAGCTGCCAACCCCTGCACTTCCCTGGGTGGAGGAAACCAGGAGGCAGAGCCATGGAGCCACCTGGCAGGAGGGACAAAACAGGGTCTGTGCTTTCGGCCCTAGCCCATGAAGCTACTTTTTCTTCTCAGGCCAGCGCTGTGGGTTTGTCCGGGGCTCCTGGTTTCTGGCGGCTGGACAAATGGAAGAAATGGTCCGGCTAGCCACAGACCCATGTAATCCTCAGGCCCTGCTGGGCAAGTGTCCCAGCCCCAACTGGAGGACCTGAACCTCCTCTATCCTGAGTCCCAGGCTGCCAGATTTGTCTCCAACCTCCCTGTGGCTTGGCTTGCCTCTGCTCAACCACTGGGGCCATGCAACTGCGACTCGGGTTCCCAGGACAACATTGCTGAGCTAAGACAAAGGGCATGGATGGAGCCGGTGGACCTGCCCTCCTTTGATTGCAAAGGCTGGTCCTCAGAGCAGCACTCCTCAGTCTGTTTATGGCCCAGCTCCACAGCCAAGGGTGAATTGAGGGGAGTCAGGACAGGGATTCAAACAGGGCAGGAACCTGGAGGCAGGAGCGGATGCAAAGGCCATGGAGGGGTGCTGCTCACTGGCTTGCCCAGCCTGCTTTCTTATAGAACCCAGGACCGCTACCTAGGGATGGCACCCACCATGGGCTGGGTCCTCCTCCACCAATCACTAATTAAGAAAATGCCCTACAGACTTGTGTAAACCCGATCTCATGGAGGCATTTTCTTTTTTTTTTTTTTTTTTAAAGGTTTATTTATTTATTATGTATACAGTGTTCTGTTTGCATGTGTCCCTGCAGGCCAGAAGAGGGCACCAGATCTCATAATAGGTGTTTGTGAGCCACCATATGGGTGCTGGGAATTGAACTCAGGACCTCTGCAAGAACAGCCAGTGTTCTTAACCTCTGAGCCATCTCTCCAGTCCCTGGAGGCATTTTCTTAATTGAGCTCCCTCCTCAGATGACTAGCTTGTGTTGGGCTGACAGAGAACTGTCCAGCACAGTGAGGTGAGCTTCAGCGGCTGCCACTGGCTGCACGCCACACACACCTCTCCGGTGGTTCAAAGTCACAGCTGTGTGTGTGTGTGTGTGGGGGGGCTTCCATGGCAGTCTGCCTGAGCACTTGCTCCTGGGGCCTTCGGTGTCTCCAGGCTCTTTTATTTCTCCAGCGCTAGCTGGGCCCTATGACCTGAAGTCATTAATCATAGTTTACTTTGATTTCTCCTCTGCATAACTCAGTGTATTAATCCCTTCTGGTCAGCATACTAAGCTGATTAAATCAAGCTCTGCTCCCTCTCTTCACACACACACACACACACACACACACACACACACACACACACCCTTACAAATATAGTCCCCAAACAGGTCAATCTGTTACAAATGCTGATGTTAATTTTAATAAAATATTAGAACAAAGGTCACATATAAATATGTCCAATAAAAATGTTTAATTTTTAAATCACAGAGCTTTCAATGGGTGGGAGAAGAGTGGTATGGTATTACTAGAGCCCCTGACATTCCATGGACTTCCGCTGGCTCTCCTTTGCCCCCGAGTGCTGGGATTAAAGGCGTGTGCCACCACCGCTCAGCTCTTATGTGTGTGTGTGTGGTTTTTTTTTTTTAAGATTTTTTTTTTTAATTTATTAAGTATACAGTGTTCTGTCTGCATGTGTCCTTGCAGGCCAGAAGAGGGCGCCAGATCTCACTACAAGTGGTTGTGAGCCACCATGTGGTTGCTGGGAATTGAACTCAGGACCTCTGGAAGAGTACTCTTAACCACTGAGCCACCTCTCCGGCCCCGTGTGTATTTTTTTTTAATTTAACGTTTTTAGTTACATTTTTGTTCTTTTTTTAATGCATTCGTACACATGTGTGGGCAGGCACGTGCCACCGTGCATGTGTGGAGGTCAGGACAGCTTGTGGGAGTGGTTTTCTCCTTCCACCGTGTGGGTTGAACTTCTGTTTTCACACTTGGCAGCAAGCTTCTTTCCCCTTGGGCCGTCTCGCTGGCCTTTACTGTTAACTGTGTGTTATTTACGCTCTCCTCACCACCTTTCCCCTAAACACACTGGTCTCTACTTTCTACTCTGCCCTTCAGAAGGTAATAAATCTTGGGTTCATCATCAGTCTTTCCTTCCTCTTCTTCCTGCTTTTTTTTTTCTATGAACTTTCATGTTGCCCCCCAGAGTGTTTGTTTTCTATGAAGCGTTTACAGATATGATTACTAGTCTGCCTTCAGCTTCGCCCACCAGGTAGGGATTTGATACAGTAACTTTGCTGTTGTAACTTCCTAGATAGACTGTCACTGTGCTTTGAACTCCTCTTTAAAATGAGAGAGAGAGAGAGAGAGAGAGAGAGAGAGAGAGAGAGAGAGAGAGAGAGAGACTTCTGTTTTTACATTTCCAATAGGTTGAGCATTAATTTCTTTTTTGCTTCAACATTATTAGTTTCAGTTTTATTTATTTCAGGTTCTGCCTGTAGTTTCTGTTTCACTTCTTGGAATTTGTGGGGATTTGGGGACTGGAGGGAGGGCTTAGCAGTTAAGAATGAACATTGCTCCTGCAGAGGACCTGAATTCAGTTCTTAGCACCCATGCCAAGCTGCTCTCAACCTCTTGTATCTGACGCCCTCTTATGGCTTCTGCGTGCAACTGCACTTGTGCACATACATACATACATACATACATACACACACACACACACAACTAAAAATAAAATAAATCTTTAAAAATGCGGCCGGGCGGTGGTGGCGCACGCCTTTAATCCCAGCACTTGGGAGGCAGAGCCAGGCGGATCTCTGTGAGTTCGAGGCCAGCCTGGGCTACCAAGTGAGTTCCAGGAGAGGCGCAAAGCTACACAGAGAAACCCTGTCTCGAAAAACCAAAAAAAAAAAAAAAAAAAAAAAAAAAAAAAAAAAAAAAAAAATGCATTACTTGTATGCTTCCTTCCATCTCTGCTTCAGGCTTGACTTTACCTGGTGGCTAGCCATGGAGTAGCCTGTGGCAACAGAGGCCTCGTTTTCTACTTACTATGGTCCTTTTTACCCAGCGCAAAGCCGTGCTTTTAGCTACATTCAGCCACAGATGGCTTGTTGGTCAACTACAATGTACAAGGCCATGGGAATAAAAATGTAACCATGACAGCAGAGTTCACGAACTGATGAGGAAAATGGACCAGCACTGAGTGAGCTGTGAGCACAGAGCTCAACAAAACCCATCCTGATTCTAAGTGAGCACCACAGAGGCCGCTGGGATGAATACACCCATATCATTGCCTCCAAGGTCCACAAGAGGAGTGTGGAGCGTGCAGAATCTCCTCTTTGGGGATGAAACAAGTCATCAGCCTAATTCATCTCCACAACAACTGTAAACTGTGGCTGCTCCTCCTTGTCCACACTTGATATTGTCGTCTTTTACATTTTGTTCGTTGCTGTTTCATCCTGGTTTTAATCAGCTTTGATTTTGTAAAAATAAAAGCACGTGAGATCATTGGGTGAGATGGTGGAGGCCTATTAATCCCAGCACTGGGAACACAGAGGCAGGAGGATTTAGTTTAAAGCTAGCCTGGACTACATAGCAAGACTTTGTCTCAAAAGCAAAAACTAAAAAGAGAAACCAAATGGGTGTGACTGTAAGTACCTTTCAGGAGGGAGGGGTCCGAGTGGAGGACTCCCAAGGACAGCCTTAGGCTTCCCATTCCCACTTCACTTCCCAGGGCCCCCTTGCTCATCCAGCTCATGATCGACAAGGACATGGAACGCCCACCCAAGGCAAGCGTCCACTTCCTCAGACACCTGTTGAAGCTACTGGACCAAAACCCTCCTGTTTTTCTCTCTAGTTATTAGGCTAGATGAGAAGTCTATGCAAATGCCTTATGTTGGAAAAATGCCTGAGATGACTAAAGAATTTCCAGACCCCCCCAAAGCTGGAGGCAGCTGATGCCCCGGGCAGGAGCTGGTAGGCTGCCCTGGCAGAGGGAGCGCTCCAGCCAGTTAATCATTTGCCAGGCTTGCCAGCCGCCGCCGCCGCCGGGGAAGGTGGTGAGCATTTCAGTAGAAAGGCCCTCAGGAGAGCGGAATTAAGGTAGACCTGTGCTGGGCTGCCTACCTACCTGTGTGAGGCTGGCTGAGCAGGAGGAGACTCGAGGAAGAGGCAGGTGATTAGCCTGGGGGTGTGTGATTTATGGGGTGACCTCCATTGGCCCTTCTCCGGCAGGAAATGGGCGGTTTACTAATGCCTTCCCCTCCACGCACCTGCAAAGCCTGTTGGTAGTATTTTAAAATAATTTACTAGATGAAGTTCTATGTTTTCCTTTGGACAGCTGCCCAGTAATCGACTCTGTTGGTTTTTTTTAAAATTCAGATTACAATGTTTTCCTGTGTCTCTCTCTGTCCCTCTCTCTTTCTCTTTTCCTTTCTCTTAAGGAGAGAAAGTCTGAGGACTCTAAGACCTTTATTTGTGTATTTTCTGAGGCGGGGTCTCCGGTATCCCAAGCCTCACTCGGACTCGTCATAGCCAGAGGATGACTGAACTTCTGAACCTCCAACTCTTGACCCTCCTGCCTCCACCTCCCGCGTACTGGGCTTGTACCACAATGCCCAGTATATGGGGTGCTGGGGATTGAACCTATGACTTCATGTATACTAGGCTAGCGCTGGACCAGCTGAGCCATGCCCTGAGCCCCCGTGGTACAGCTGGAAACAGACCTCAAGTCTCAGATAAACCTGCTCAGTTCAGCTGTCACACCATGCTCATTTTCTCCTCTCTCCCATGGGCAATCCCACCTCTTCATGTGCATGTGCGTGCGTGTGCATGAGTGTGCGTGTGCGTGTGCGTGTGCGTGTGTGTGTGTGTGTGTGTAAGGGCTTCAGGTAACACATGACCCCTGAAGCAGAGGACAACTTTCAGGAGTCCTCTCCTCCCACCATGTGGGTTTCTGGGGTTCAAACTCAGGCGTCTGTGGAACATGCCAACCCCAGCCGGAGGAACCTGACCTGGAGCTGTGACCCAGGCACCCAGTTTGAAGGTCAAAAGCCTGATTCTGTCCCTGGTTTGTCACAAAGGCAAATGCCTGTTGTACAAATGCTGGACTGCTTTAGTTCCATAGTCTTTCTGCTGTGGTCACTGTAGCCAACATGAAGTTAGGATGTGTCAGGGAGATGTCAGAGGTCTCAGATTTCAAAAGCCCCAACCCAGGAGAGCATTATGAGGTCCAGGAGAGGGGAGGCAGATCCGAGTACAGGAGGGCACAGACCCCTGGCAGGATATGGCTTCCTCGAGACCCACTGAGAAAAAGGCATTTTCTCCAGGGATCCCGAGATGGAAGATTCCAGTGTCTCTCCTCAGCGTGGGTGGAGGAGACATCAGAGCCTGGCGGTCCATGTATAATAGGCTGGTCTCTCGCTTCTCCTGAAACTAGGCTCTTCCTTGCCAGGGCCCCTAGGCAGCCTGAACTGAGGAGGGAGGACCCAGAAAGCAGGGCTGACTAGGACCTCTCAGGATCAGAGCCAAGTTCAGAGAGAACCAAATGTAGCGTTTCTCAGTCCACAGGGGCAGTGCTGTAATTCATACCACATTGTAACAATGGCTTCCTGGAACAGTCTGAGTCTCACTCACGTTTCCTTTTCATTCTGACACTTGAGGTCTTGTGTCGTGCCTCAAAGGAGTCAATCTTGGTTAAGACCTAGTCCTGAAGGTTTGAGCAGGAGGTGGCATCTACCCATGGCGTGGCATCTACTCCACGGTGATGGCCCTGATTGTAAGAGGCTTAGAAGGGCAGAGACACTTGTCCTGGGGGGTGAATGAAAACGAGAAAGAGAAAGTGATGGAACATACTGTTACCTGCAGGAGGAAACCCAGTCTTCCTCAGATCGACTCCCAGGTTTAGATGGCCAGGTGTAGGGCAGACCCACCATGTCACTTCCTGCTAGGTCTAGGGCAGACCTATCATGTCACTTTCTGTTTCTCCTGGGGATTCAGATGTGTGACTGATGTTACCTTTCATCTTATGTAGTCAGGAACCCCACCCCCATGATCTATGAATGATAGTTCCGGGAAGCTCCACATATGGCCACAAACCACCTACGTGCTGGTCAGGATTTGCATGGTGATCAGACTGGAGGGGTCCTGTGCTGGCGCTAACCTACATCCCTGCCTCATCATCCAGATTCAAGTCCTGGTTCAAATCCACTTTCTAAGGTTCTTTTATTTTTAGACTTATTACTCTATGTGCGTGCATGCGTGTCATATGTGTGTGTGTGTATGCGTGCGTGCATGTGTGCGTGTGCGTGTGTATACACGCGTGCGCACCCACTGTACATGCAGGTTCCCAAGGAGGCCAGAAGAGGGCGCCTAAGCCCTGGAGCTGTGGTTACGGGCTGGTATGGACTGCCTGATGTGGGTGTTGGGGTCCAAACCTCTTTTGGAGCAGCAAGTGCTCTGATTGGCCAAGCCATCTCTCCAGCCCACCTTCTCCTGTCCTGAATGTTTCTGGGTCAGGCAGTTTGCTTGAGGTCTGGTTTCCTGCCTGGGTGACTGAGCGACCTATTTGGATGAACTCTTAAGAAAGGGACTATGGCATGTTTTTCTTTACTAGAGTGCTTCTGGCTATATAGTAATCTAATAATCATCCAAGGATTTTTTGTTTTATTTTTTTTTTTGCATTTTTCAAAGAATTTTATTTATTTTTTATTGTTTGAGACTGAGGCTGGCCTTGAACTTTCTGTGTCATCAAGGATAGTCTTTCTTTTTTCTTTTTAGATTTATCTGTTTTATGAGTGTTTTATCTGCACGTTTGTATGAGTGCCTGGTGTTCTCAGAGATCAGAGGAGGGTGTTGGATCTTCTAGAATGGAGTTACGGATGGTTGTGAGCCATGATATGGGTGTCAGGAACAGAATCCAGGTCCTCTGTAAGAACAGCAAGTGCTCTGAACCGCTGAGCTCCTCTCCAGAGTGATATTAAATGCCTTGCTCTTCCTGCCTCCTCCCAAATTCTGGGATGACAGGTGAGTGTCACCACACACAGTTTAAGCTCTGCTGGGGCTAGGACCAAGGGCCTCATGCATGCTGGGCAAGCATGTTACCAACTGAGCTACATCCTTAGCTACCAGGTGGTTGAGAATCAACCACCCAAGGTCATAGACAAACTCAGATCTCCCCAGCCCCCCTGTAGCTAGAGTTTTCCTGTTTCTGCCTGGCCCAGGGTCAGAACAAATCTCCCTCACCCGCCAGTCCCACAGCTGCTCAGACCCAACCGAGTAAACACACAGAGACTCATACTACTTACAAACTGTATGGCCGAGGCAGGCTTCTTGCTGTCTAGTTCTTTTATCTTAAATTAACCCATTTCTATTAATCTGTAAGTTGCCACGTGGCTCATGGCTTACATCTCGCTTTTCATGGTGGCGGCTGGCAGCGTCTCTCTGCCTCAGTCTTCCACTTCCCAGAATTCTCCTCTCTGCTAGTCCCACCTATACTTTCTGCCTGGCTACTGGCCAATCAGTGTTTTATTTATTAATCAATCATCCACAGCAACCCCCTTTTCTTCTTCAGTAATTGCATAGTTGTATACACAGCTCTTATTCCATTGAGTTCCTCATTTTACAAGCTGCTGATTATGAGGGAGGGCCCATCCCTGGGGACCTTCAAGCCCACTCTTATCTAACTAGTTACCTCATGTTGCCAGATGTGCTGGCTAGTTTTATGTCAACTTGACACAGGCTGGAGTCACTGGAAAGGAGGGAACCTCAATGGAGAAAATGCCTCCAAAAGATCTGGCTGTAAGGCATTTTTGTAATTAGTAATTGATAGGGGACAACCCAGTCCATTGTGGGTGGTGCCATCCTAAGCTGGTGGTCCTGGGTTCTATAAGAAAGCAGGCATGTAAGCACCGCCCCTCCATGGCCTCTGCATCAGCGCCTGTCTCCAGGTTCCTGCCCTGCTTGAGTTCCTGTCCTGGCTTCCTTCAGTGATGGAGTACAATGTGGAAGTGTAAGCCCAATAAACCCTTTCCTCCCCAACTTGCTTTTGGTCGTGATGTTTTGTCACGGCCGTGGAAACCCTGAGATACCAGGAGATCTCTGTGAGGCTCGTGGACAGTTTGTAGGTCGGACTGGCTGCAGGAAACGAAGGTTCCTCAGCTCTGCCCTCCCCTAGGAGCCTCTGCCTGCCTAGAAATAGCAGCTGCTTTCTCCCCAACATTCGGGGACCTGAGGGTCTAGAGAGCCCTGCAACATCAGGACAAAGTTGACGCCAGTGTGATGGTTAACTTTGGTTGTCAACTTGACAGGCTCTAGAACAGTGATTCTCAACCTGCCACTCACGACCCCTAGGGGGTCACGTAGCAGATATTTACATTACAATTCGTAACAGCAGCAAAATTAAAGTTATGAAGTAGGAATGAATAATGTTCTGGTTGGGGGTCAGCATGACATGAGGAACTGTATTAAAGGGTCGCAGCTTTAGGACGGTTGAGAACCAATCATCTAGGAGATTAACTACCTGGCATGTCTATGAGGAACTTTCAAGACCGGTTAACAGAGGAAGGAGAAAACTGCCTTAAATGTAGGCAGCACTATCCTGTGGGCTGGGGCACCGGACTGAGAGCAGGAAGAAAGCGAGCTGAGCACCAGGATTTCTTCTCACCCACAGCTTCCTGACTGTGGGTTCCACGTAATCAGCTGCATCACGATCCCGCTGCCATGATGGACTGAACCCTTAGACTGTAGCCACAATGAACATATTCCCCTGAGTTGCTTGTTTGTTTTTCATTTCTGAGACAGGGTCTCATGCAGCCCAGACTGTCCTTGAACAGGTTGTGTAGTCAAGAACTTCTCATCTTTCCATCTCCACTTCTAATTTCTGGGACAGCCGGTGCACACCTCCACACACAGTTTTATGTGATGCTGGGGACCAAACCCAACTTCTCATCTTTCCATCTCCACTTCTAATTTCTGGGACAGCCGGTGCACACCTCCACACACAGTTTTATGTGATGCTGGGGACCAAACCCAGGGCCTGGTGCATGCTAGGCAAACACTCTCCAGCGGAACCTCATCCCAGTCCCTGACAGGTATGTTTATTATTAGAAAAGTCGCTAATCCAGGGGTAAGGAAGTTCTCTGAGGCCTGTCTAGGTCTAGGACTTGGGTAGTGAGCCCCCTTTCGCCTCCCTTTTGGATATTTGGTCTCACTTTTGTGATCATGGGCCAGGGTCTCCCCAGGCAGAGCCACTGAGCTCTCCTGTTCCACTGTAGTTCTCTTGTGGATCTTTCCTCCTCACTCAAAGCCTGGGACCGAGGCTGAGGCAGAGCAAGGATGTGAGCCCAGAACCACCGTTAGGCTGCGGGAGGGAGGTTGGGGGAGACATTGTTCAGCTCTCTGGTCATATGACTGAAGCCAGAAAGGACAGACACTAGGGCTCTCGAAGCTTTCAAGCCCCACCCAACTTTCTAGGAGTTTTTTTCTAGTTGAAGGAGCCCTCTAGAACCTGTTGTCATGACAACTAGGACTGATCATCCCAGAAAAAAGTCTAGCAAATTCAACTAAGTCCTGGGGACCAAGCACTCCTGACTGAACATCTGGCCAACGCATAGTAAGTGGAGGCACCAGACGCGCTTCCCTTTTAGCTCACTAAAGTGGGAACTGTTGGGCCAGCAAGATCACTCAGTGTGGAGAGGTGTTTGGGCAGGCCCAGTGACCTGAGTTTGATCTCAGGTTCCACATGGTGGCAGAAACAGACTCTCTCTCTCTCTGCTTCTGTGACTTCCTCGGGGTTGGGGGTGGGGCACAGCAATCGGCTGTCTGTGATTTTCCCATCATGCACTAGTGGATGCTAGTGCTTCAGTGTCAGGCTCAGGGGGTCGTCATCCTGAGTGTGGCTGCACAACCAGGATACTCCAAATCCCTAGGGCTCAGGTGAGATTTTCCATACCTGATGCAGGACCTACTGCTGTCCACCTCACAGACCCACCTCCAAGAGGCTTGTTCCCGGGCCGCAAACCAACCCCGTGGGCCCAGCTTCCAGGCCACTCTTTATTGAGCTCCTATTAGATCATTCACATAAATACATAGAATAAATACAAAAACAGCACTTTTAGAAGTCTTTGCTTTGAAGAGCACCCTTCCCATGTGTTCTGGGCTCACTTCCACACATGCACGTGGGTCCCTGTGTCCCCCCTGCATCCGTCAGCAGTCCCTCGGGGCCCAGCAGCCCTGGCAGAGGCCTGGGGAAGGAACTCACACGTAATCATTCAACCTGTACCCACTGTGCGAGGCTGAGGTCACCGAGGGGGCACGGTTGTCCTTGTAGGCTGCTGGTGGGCGGTAGGCAGGGGCAGTGGCCGTGGTGGTGGCACCAGCCCTGGACTGGGCCTGGTAGGGCCTGTAGGGGGCCTCATCCTGGCAGGACAAGCAGAGCAGGGTGCCCCCGATGAGAGACAGGGAGGAAGAGATGAAGCCCAGGTACAGGGCCTGGCCGATCTCGAACTTCATGCCGCTGGGCAGCAGCGGGTTGTAGAAATTCTGCACCACATCGTTCGTGGTCCAGGATACAGCCACCATGCACAGCAGGCCGGCCAGCAGGAAGAGCGCGCCCCCCAGCACCGCGAAGGTGGTCTTGGCGGGTGTGCCCTTGGCACAGCGAGTGCACTTCATGCCCACCACAGCGCAGGCGGAGGCCATGCCCGACAGCAGGCAGGAGATGACCATGAGTGCCCGGGCTGCTTGCAGGTCCCGGGGCAGCGCCAGCAGCGAGCGGTAGATCTGGCACTGGTAGATGCCCGTGCTGTGCC